TCGTTCGACCGCCAAAGGGATCGCGAATCACAGGTGAGAACCGCTGCGTGACTAGGCTCTCTGTCCTGGAAGAAGGCGGGGGAGCCCGACGGTGACCGGAACTCGCTGTTTCAGGGGGAAGAAAGGGTCCCAATCCAGATGATCCCAATCTAACATCACCCCAGCTGCTATCGTCAGCGGACTTCACTGGAAGGAGAAAACGCGCAAGGTGCACGGCACAATGACGATTAGCCCAACTTTGCCGAGTGACCAGAGGCGGCGCAGCGGGCGGAGAAGCGGCGCCGCGCCGCCCCGCCCACCCGGAACTGGGAGGCGAGGGTGCAGACCCGCGGCCGAGCGAGAAAGGTTCCGCGAGGGGACCGGGCGCGCCTGCGGCACTGTCCGGGCCGGCATCCCGCTCCCGCTCCCGCCCTGCCAGAAGGGCATTAGGGCCAGCCAGGCGAGGGCTCCGGACCGACCCCTCCACCCCCCGCCCCGGCTGCCCAGTCCTCCCGCAGACTTACTGCCGGAAGGGGCCGTCCAGGGAGCAGCCACCCCCGCCCCGGCCGCCCGCGGCTAAGGAAAGCACTTGAAGGCTGCCTGCGGCGGTCAGGCTCCCCAGAACCTCCTGCTCTCGGTGCAGCTGCGCCCGGCTTCCCAGACGCCCCGTGGCCTCAGCGGGGACCGGCACCAACAACATCGGTAGAACCCGCTCCATGGTGGCAGCGCTGCAGAAGCCGCCGGCGGCAGCACTTCCGGATCACTTCGCCGCCATCTTTGGTCCGGCAGTTTTTGGTGTGCCGGTGTCGTCCCCCCCCCCGTCCTGGGCATGCGCAGTGGAGCCGACCCCGGCTGCCTCGTGACTCCCGCCGCCCCGGGCCAGCGGTCTCTGCCAGACGCCACTCCCTTGCGTGCGGGGCTCCGCACCTGCGGCGCCCGCGGACCTGCACCTGCGCTGGCCTCGGGCCGCTCCATACCGGCCGCAGGCTGCAACAGCTGGCTCGCTCTGTGGCGTTACCCTTTGCCGCCTTAATGTAGCCGCCACCTTGGAAGTCCCTGCCCCTTCTCATGGCTTTTCTTATTTTGTTTACAGCTCTGGGTGGTGCAAGCAGTCCTTAGCAGTGTGGACTGGCCCGTCCTGAGTTGACCCGAATGTTGAAATGCGCAGGGGCAGGGGGTAAGGGGTGGCGTTGCCCTTTGCTCTCCGCAGGGACGTGTGATCCAAGGTCGTGGGCAGAGAGGAGCCGAGGGGTGAGGAGCGGTGTGGAGAAGGCATTTTGGAAAAGGGCCCTAATCGCAGTGCCTTTCTCACCCACCATCAGGTGGGCTCACGGGGCTACCGAAGCTTAGCGCCTCCTTTTGCTTTGACTCGAATCCTCCTCTAGTTCTAGGGCTTGGTGTGTACAAAATTCTTTTTCTCCTGCATTGCTTTCTCCCTCTTTATTGGGGTGACTTCATTATCATGCAGACATTCTCTAATATGCGGAACTGGTGGTTCCTTGTGACTTTGGTTAAATTTAGTGTTAAGTCTTGGCTCTAGAAATAATCTCTCTCTTTCTCTCTATCTATATATACACCCCTTAGGCCCAGCCTTTCTTCCTGAATAATCAGCAACCTCTGAATCAGAAGATCGTAGCCCCGACCTGACCCATAGTCACACCGACCAGACCTCTGGCAAACGAAAGGTAACATCTTGACCTAAATTATGTTTCAGTTTTTGAGTCCTATGGTGGAGCAACCCCCTGGCTACTTTCCATGAGACCAGAGGGAGTCTGAAAAGACTTCAGAGCTGTCCTCAAGACCTGAAGAAATGATTCATTACCCTTCTCTCACCTCCGACCAATCAGTTGGCCTATATGATCTGTAACCTACAGGCCATCAAGGATTTCCAGCTTTTAAGCATTAGCTTCCCATTCTCCTCGATAAGGCCATTCGTCAATAAAATAGCCAATATTTCTCTACTGCAGTTCTCAGTGTTTAGTATTTGGCTTTGCTAGTGCTGGGTGGACAAACTCTTTCTGTTCTAAAACATATGTCATTCTTTTAAAAAGAAAATGACTTCCCTTATCCTACACCAACGGCTACCTACTGTCAAATTTCTGCTTCCCTTTTAGAAAATTCCAAGTTGACTCATCTTGTGATCAGAAAAGCTCCCTCACCTCACCTCAACCCTCTGATCAGGCTGCCATCTCCACCAAAACTCTCCCTCAAAATGAATGATCTCTAGACTGCCACAACCAACCTATCATTCCTCACTCCCTTCTTTTTTAAAAAAAATATATATATATATATATTTTATTGATTTTTTACAGAGAGGAAGGGAGAGGGAGAGGGATAGAGAGTTAGAAACATCGATGAGAGAGAAACATCGATTCAGCTGCCTCTTGCACGCCCCTTACTGGAGATGTGCCCGCAACCCAGGTACACATGCCCTTGACCGGAATGGAACCTGGGACCCTTCAGTCCGCAGGCCCACGCTCTATCTGCTGAGCCAAACCGATTAGGGCCTCACTCCCTTCTTAACGTCCTTTCTTTTCAACTTTGGTAACACCACTAACAATGTTTGGTAACATTTTTAGAGTGGTCTTCTAAAAGTGAAATCATGTCACATTACCTTCCTGTTTAAAATTCTGACTTCATCGCAGTTAAAAATCCAAATTTTTAAAAATCATGGCTTACAGGTCTTACACCCTGCCTCCCTCTTTCCAGCCTCATCACCCTCCCCACTTATCTGTGTACTTCAGTCTTTTCCTGAAACACACCAAATTCATTCTCACTTTGGGGGCTTTGTGCTCAGCAGTGCCTCTACATGAAATACTTTTCATTCCAACTTAAATATAACCTCTATTGACAGAGCTTCCACTCCAGTCACTCAGCAGCCAGTTTTGTTTTCACCGTGGTTTTTATCACCACCTGATGTTTGGGTTAGTCCCTGTCCAAACAATGCGAGTTTCAGAAGAGCAGGGACTTTTTCTTGCTTACCACTGGTACCCTGACGCCTAAAACGGTGCCTGGTTCATAAAGGCACTCCAGTCTTTGCTGATAACCTTGTTTGTCAAGTTAAACCAAACATTTCAGATCCCCAAAGAGATGTGTATATGTACATTCAACAATCGTAGCTCATCTAGGGGTACTTTCTCTTACAAACAAGTTTCAACACATCATTATCTCTTTAATTATACCTTATTATGCCATGCCTTTTTAGGCACATCACTCAGGTTTTTGAAGACAGCTAAGAAAATGTTTTGGGTAGGGTCCTCCAATGTATTAAGGCATAAGAAATGTCTTCAGACTCTTGGATCCCTGTAGACATAGCTCGCACAGCTAGTGTCTGATGATTAAACTTTCCCCACATGGCCGTATTCCAGAACAATGAGATCAGTAGATCCAGGCAAGCCTACAAAGGGAACAGATGTTAACTGCAAGCAATTACATTTTCTAAAGTATTAGGTGATTTAATTAACATATGACTCCAGCAGATGGTAAATTCTGAGGAAAGAGATGGCCTCCGTGTTGTTCGTGTTTATGTTTTTGAATAGTTTTGTCCCTCAAATATTTCTTGAATTAACGATTCAGTTTCTCAAATTGAGTCTTGCCCTCAAATAGCTTGGCATAAGTGACCAAAGCACCTGGGAATCAATTCAACGGTTTATTTGAAGATACCATAGGGTCCTAACTTGAGGTAGACTCTTTACTCAGTAAATGCCAGTGTCTGGAACTACTTCTGAAAACAAGCTATTCTCGCCCAACTGGCATGGCTCAGTGGTTGAGAGTCAACCTGTGAACCAGGAGGTCACAGTTCCATGTCTTGTCAGGGCACATGCCCTGGTTATGGGCTCGATCCCCAGTGTGGGATGTGCAGGAGGCAGCTGATCAATGATTCTCTCTCATCATTGGTGTTTCTATCTCCCTCTCCCTTGCTCTTTGAAAACAATAAAAATATGTTAAAAAAATAATAAAAGCAAGCTATTGTCCATGCTCTTGGTTTAAAAGAAATAGAGAAGTAAATGATAGACCCTAGATTGGGCTTGAACAAGGGGCAATGACCTTGTTTCTGCCATAACTTACTGCATTGTAGCCTCTAGCTGCTGTATCAATTGTTTGTCCACGTGGCGACAGAACAGGGGAAGGAGGTTGGTGGGGAAGGCTAGGGGTTCAGCCAAAGAGGCTGTAGGCATCTGAGCTATTTCCCAGGCGATCAGAATCACTATGTCTGTCCTGGAGACCAGAGAGGAGGAAATACATCAAAGTATTTGTATTTATGCAGGAAACAGACCCAAAGCCAAGATCCTTATTACCCTTTAACACCACCATCACCCTCTCTGCATGTAGCAAATAAGGGAGAACATTTGCACATTTGACATATGCCAGGGCACAGCTTAATGCTTTACACATCATTTTTCTTAATCTTAAGAACTCTAAGGGGCTAGTACTGTCATCCCTAGATCCCTAGTTTGTAAATGAGGAAACAGGCTAAGAAAAGGTTAAGTAACATTCCCAAAACTTAGAGTGCTAATAAGTGATGGAGGCAAAATTCAAACGTAGATCTGTTTGATGCTAAAGCTTGTCCCCCTAATTACTATGTTACACTGCCTCCCATGGAAAATGAACTCTAGGGGACTATAAGGAGGGGAAAAGGCAGAGCAGCTACAACTCTGGGAATTTTCCCTTTGACCAACTTCTTCCCTGATGTTTGAATACACTGCTCTGGAAATATCTCATCTGGCCCAGCCTATACATCCCAGATGTACTGAAGTAATATGTACAGGTCATTATGATCTTACCAAGCTGTATGGTCACTGCTGGGTTCCTCCAGGGATGGATCCAGGGATACCAGCTGCGCCCCATGACTCAGCAGGGTGTAGAGCAAAGATATTCCAAACTGCAAGTGATAGAGTACCCAGGGGAAATGAATTCATCCGAGGCATCCGGTGCTTACCTGGCTCTGTCTTCCCAACTAAAAGGACAAGTTTACGTGCACAAATGGAGTCCAACACCCATACAACTGTCAGATTTTACACTGGCTGGCCAAAGAACTCTCAGACCTTTCACTGCTCTGAACTACCCTAAAGATTCTTCTGGGGAGTGTACTAAATGCACACTCATGAGTTCTGCCCCCAGAGTCTGTAAATTAGGAATGGACCTGGGCATCTGATGCAGGTATCTGCTGACCCCACTTGAAGAAGCACTGTTTTAGGAAAGATCTTCAGAGAGAGGTTCATAAGACAATCCACTGGCATATTAGAAGATAGCAGAACTTCATATCTAGAGTCTCATCTTTTAAAATGTTCTACTTGTGTATTTATTACGTGCCTAATATTAGTATAGTGTTACATATAAACTACTTACAAATACACACATAGGTGATATGGGTCAGAATTTATTTCTATTAAAACTTTGGTGACTTCTGCTCTAGAGGTCTACAGCAGCACCATCACCAGAGAGCTTGTCAGAAAAGCAGATGTGTGGGCCCCACCCCGGGTCTACTCAACGACTCAGGCAGTGGGCCCAAGGTGATCCTAATGCTCACTAGAAGTTGATAAGCACTGGAAAGGATAAACGGGAGAGAGGAGGAGACTGCAGAGATGAGAACATTCCCTCATTTATTCCTTGCCAGTGATAACAGCCTGGAGACCATCTATGGCAGCGGTTCTCAACCTGTGGGTCGCGACCCCTTTGGGGGTTGAATGATCCTTTCACAGGGGTCGCCTAAGACCATCAGAAAACACATATATAATTACATATTGTTTTTGTGAATAGTCACTAGGCTTTAATTATGTTCAATTTGTAACAATGAAATTGGGGGTCACCACAACATGAGGAACTGTATTAAAGGGTCGCGGCATTAGAAAGGTTGAGAACCACTGATCTATGGAAAGACAAAAGCCTCCCAGAAAAAAAAAAAAAAGCCTCCCAGATATATTACCTGATTCTGAAGCACCACAGTGACTGGCCGCTCTGAGGAGCCAGGTGGAAGCAGCATTAGTCCCTGAAGTCCTTGGAGGAGTTCTTGGAAGGTCAAGTGTCTGATATATTTGCCCAGAGGCTTGAATAACATTTGTAGGACCTACAGGAAGGTCAGTGAGTGCCTCTCTCAGACTTCACAACTTCACCTCCTCCCACCTTGCCTTCCATCCCTTTTCTTGCTGACCTGCCTTGACCACCTACCTGGTCAGGTTATTTACCAGACCTATCACCACTAATGCCTCTCCATCACCAACACTGGTCCTTCAATACCTACTTGTTCTAGGATGTCTTCCCTAAGAAAAGTAGATACAGGGCTCAATACTTGTCAGGGAGTCCTTATTTTCTCACCCTCCACAGCACACTCACACCTGTATATTTTCTTGTGTTCATTACACCTAAAGATGATCAGCTGTTCCTATAGTTTACTCTGTAACTCCCTCACCTGAGGTGGCAGGGTCAACACCCTCACTGCCCAGCCTTCTCTGGCATCTCTGGGGGTGGGAACTGGAAGAGGAGAAAAGATCCCTATCTCATCCATGAAATCATCCTCTTCTCCACTTGGTGCCACAGTACCTGATCAGCTGCATCCCTCTTGACCAGGAGTGGCAGATGGTGGATGATAGCCAGAAGAAGGCTGACAGCTAGATCCCGGGGCAGGAAGGGGAGCAGCCGGGCCACGAGGGCTTTCCCCTTCCTCACAGAGAGCACCTGCAGGAAGCCATCTGCTGCCTCCCTACGAGTGAGATAGAGTATTTTCAGGGCTGTACGTAATGGAGAGGGCTACATGCCAGAAAGGAGCAGCTAAAGCAAATTTGCTGATCCTCCCCTTCCTGGGCGGAGGGATGACCTCCCACGCTCACTCCAGGTTATCCTGCTCCTGGGTCTTTAAGGCCTGGAAGAGCTTCTCAACCTGGTTTCTCTGCTGCTCAGAGTAGCAGGACTGTGGAGGCCCATTCTTCTGGCCCTCCTCTATCTCTAGTAACTGAAGAAACATCTGGGAATTTGAGGGTGGGAAAAGAGGAAGAAGAGGTCAATTTGAGCAAGATCCCATTTTCAAGGAGTAGTTAGGAACTCATCTCTAGGAGCTGATCTCACCTTCTCAATCCAGGACAACACCCGAAGCCTCTGGCTGCTGGCAGCTCCTATCTCCTAGGAGAAAGAGTCCCCAGCCATCAGCCACACCTCCACAGCAGCAACCCAGGCCTCAGGGGAGCTAAACATTGAGCTGGAGAGGCTAACACAGAGTCTGATCACACTTCTCCCTCTCTTAGGTCACAATCTGAACTCAAGCACGATGATGCTTAAGACTCTTCTCCAAAACAGGGAGGAGAAAAGAAGGGTTCTGGGAAGATAACATTCCTACCGGTTCTGGAGTTCCATGGGGTACAGCATCAATAGCTCTGCGAGGGCTAAAACACGTTGACATGGCCACCTGGCCCAGGGAACCCTCGAATCGAACCACTGCAGGAAAGGAGTCAAGACAGGCATATTTCCCTCTCCTTTCTACCCTCTGTCCACCCAGATGGTCAGCCCAACCCAGCAGGTCAGCCCTGGGCCTACCTGACTCGTAAACCTCTGCCTTCTGAATGTAAGGTGTGACCAGCTTGAGGGACTCCACCTTGCTCCTTTGTCCAAGCAGCTCTTCATCTGCCTCCTTCTTCTCTAGTTTCTGATAATATTTCTGGGATCCCATGGAATGTAAAAATGTATACAGTCCTCATGTTCTGAATTTAGAATTAAGGTTCTCAAGTGCAATGTCTTAACGCACCTTTTCCTATAGCATCTGTTCCAGAAATGTTCCTGGCACCTTAGGCCATATTTGCAATCATTCTAAAGTACCTGAAACACCCTAGGTTTCATGCTACCATTCATGGGATCCTCATACTAAGGACTTCAAGAGCAAGGTACTGGCCAGCCAGGTGGCTCAGTGGCTGAGTGTTGACCCATGAACAAGAGGTCACGGGTTCAATTCCAGGTCAGGGCACATGCCCAGGTTGCAAGCTCAATCCCCAGTAGGGGGCATGCAAGAGGCAGCCAATTGATGTTTTTATCTCTCTCCCTTCTCCCTCCCTCCCTCTCTCTCTCTCTCTCTCTCTCTCTCTCAAAAAAAAAAAAAAGAAAAAAGAAAAAAAAAAGGAAAAAGAGCCAGGTACCACTTCCAGGTCTGATAGAAAGGCAGAGGCAGAGAGAGAAGTGTAGAGCCAGGAAGCAAACCTGTCCCAGCATCTGCAACCTTCCTGCATTCCTTGTTCCCAAGTTATACACTACACATCATATATCCTCCACCTCCCCGTTTTGATTTTGTGATTCTGCCTGTGCTTTCCAAAGTCACTTTATCTGGTGGCATGGAGACCACCAGTAGCTTGAAGTACAGAGATAGCACTATTGTCAATTGGCCAATTTTATACTTCTGAGGATTTTCTCAGCAGCTCTGATATTCTCTTAAAGAAATATGTAAAATCCCAAGCTGAAATAAAGCCACTGACTGCGAGACAAACAAGGATTTGAATAAAGCTCCTCTATTTAGGAGAACAAAAAAGGCCAGAATCCCTAACCGGTTTGGCTCAGTGGATAGAGCATCGGCCTGCGGACTCAAGGGTCCCAGGTTCGATTCCGGTCAAGGGCATGCATGTACGTTGTGGGCACATCCCCAGTCGGGGTGTGCAGGAGGCAGCTGATCGATGTTTATCTCTCATTGATGTTTCTAACTCTCTATCCCTCTCCCTTCCTCTCTGTAAAAAAATCAATAAAATATATGAAAAAAAAGGCCAGAATATAAAACAATTTCACTTTCAGTGATCTTGACAGAAAGAGGGGATTTTTGAAGCAGGGTAGAAAGAAAAAAAGAAACTAAATAGGAAGGAGATAAAAGTGGGAACTTCGGTAGAGGGCTCATGGAGGTTGAGGAGAAAAGTGAAACAAAGCTTTGACAACCCCAAAACCCATAAACAAAGATGTGTCCCATAACAGGGGGTAGATAGGAAACAGGAGGAGGTGAGTCAAAATGTCTGCCATCATTTGTTCAATCCAACAAATCGAATCCTACTATTTCTAACATCCTTGTATTTTTTATCTAAAATAATAAAGTTAAGTAGATGAATGTTTATAATGACATTTCTAAACACTCACAAAAGTATACAAAGGTGGAAAAGTCTATATTCTCAGGCTGAATAGGGGAAATTATTGGCAAAGGATAGAGACAAAATCTCAGAGTGTATTTGGGAAATTGTACACAACCCCATTTGGCTGAATGTAGGAGAACAGAGAGGTGAATGGGGTTGGGATGTCAACTTTAGAAATATGGCCCCTATGAGCTGAAGAGAGAACCTGAGAGGGCCCGTGGAGTCCAGGACCTTTCCACCCCAAGGTTAAAAGCTGGGAAGAGCACACGGGGCTCACCTGGTAGTAATAGTCATCCAGGCAGGGCTTCTCACTCTGCAGCTGGACCATCTGCACTTTTATCACCCAGTCCTTCTCTTTGCGGGTCATGAGGTTAGCATAGGCGTCTGACTGCCGAGACCAGGGCTTCTTGGCTGGGGGCCTTTAAGCCAGGAGGAGCATCCCTTCAGACCCACCCACGCTGCCACAGTGAACTTCCCAAGGGAGTGGAGCTGTCTGGTAAGGATGGGAGAAGGTGCAGAGGTGGGCAGCACTATAGGAGTCTTAATTGTGCAGGGACTTGGGGGGGAAACCCAGCACGAAGATGAGCTGCTTTCAACCCCGCGCCTGGTCTAGGTTTTACCTTGGTGTTCGACTGTGCTTCTGCAGCTGCAAGATCCGTTGGTGTTGAGGGTGGAGCTGGGTCAGATGACTGGGAAGGCTTAGAAAGAAACTTGGGCTGGCTGAAGGCAGGGTCTCAGCTCCCTGCCCCCTCCGCTCGTTTAGCCTCTGGTAACCTCAGCTGGACATCTAAGGGAACTCTTTCTGGGCCTCCCCAGAGTCAGCCACATGAAATATCACAATCCTCGCTCACATTCTCCTCCAAGATAGACTTTTCTGCAATTTGGCTGCAGGAAATCTCAACACAGTAGAAAACCATTGAGCCTGGTTGTCTAGAGTTCTAGTCCTGATCTCTGTTCTGCTATGTCAGTTAACCCTGAAGTAAGTTATTTTAGTCTCCCTGAGCCTCCATTTCCTCATCTCTGAGGGACTCTACCGCAGACTTTCCTTATTAAGTTTCTATAAGTATATTTCTGTGGTAGCTGGTAGTGTCCCCCGCCCCTCCTCAGCCAGGGACCTCTGGAGAACTCAGACTGTTGTGGGTGCTGGGGTGTCTGGCACCCAGAACCAGTACCTGAACCTAGGAGACCATGAGGTTGGTGGGCTGCAGAAGACATATGGGTCTGGTGGGAGCAGTCGAGGTCCAAAGTGCCGCACTGGGGAGCCGGCCCTGGGAAGTGTAGGCCGGAAAGGAACTGGCGACAAGTAGTCCAGGGTCTAAGAGGAATTAAAGAGGCATCTCCAGAAACAGAATGCTGCTCTTGCTGCCAAGTGCCTTTCCTGCCTCTGCATTCTCACCTGCCTTTTCTCTCAAGACCCTCCCTGGACATTTTGCTGTCGTGGGGGAACTTCAAGCCAACTGTGAGGTCACCAGACTGTGGATCCTGTCTTTGTTTCCAACAGGGTTTCACCTCCTAGCGAGCAGCTCTCCAGTCCCTGACAATGTGGGGGCCTGTGCTTTTCCTCCTGTCTGGTCAGCCAACACCTCTTCCTCTCCTCTCTGTGATAGTCTTGTCCCTTCAGCCACTGGGGCCATGCTTAGCTGTCTCTTTTCTGACTCACCTCAGAACCGCAGTTTCCTTCTCTTCTCCCTGCGGTATGTCCTGCATTTCTTCCATCCCAGACCATGTTCTCATTGTGCCGTTAATTGAAGGGCAAGTGCTCTTTCTAGTCCTAAGCTCAGTGCTGCTTATGTGCTAACATGCAGGGAAGTGGAAGTAGGAATCTAGTTTGTCCTTTTTCTTGTAAATGGCCAGTTGTCCCAGTTCCATCTGTCACTAACCAAGCTTCCCTGCATGATCAGTGTCTCCCAGCTCCCATGCCTACTTCTCACTTTGGGTGCTTCATCTCCAATCAAGGCCAAGAGCAGACTAAACAACGGAAATAAAGGACACTCGGCATGCTCCTTCTCAGCACCCAGTCACTTTCTCACACTGTGAAGACTGGAGCGACTCACCTGCCATAGAAAGTGCAAGGAGGCAGGTGACATCCCCAGCACACCAGAGGCCTTGATTCCAGGAGAGCTTGGAAGACCTCTCTGGAATGGGAGGGAAGGAAAGCCAGACTCAAATGAGCCTCTGTGGTGTCTTCTAAGTTTATCTATGGTGTCCATCGAGCAGTGGTTCTCAACCTGTAGGTCGCGACCACTTTGGCGGTTGAACGACCCTTTCACAGGGGTCGCCTAAGACCATCCTGCATATCAGATATTTACATTATGATTCATAACAGTAGCAACATTACAGTTATGAAGTAGCAACGAAAATAATTTTATGGTTGGGTCACAACATGAGGAACTGTATTTAAAGGGCCAGAAGGTTGAGAACCACTGCCATAGAGGGTGGCCACCATTTCCAATACCCAGGACAAAGGCAGCCTGGCCCTCCCTCATAATCAAAGTCAACTGGGCCAGGGCCGCTGTCCTTTCCTAAGGGGAAGCAAGACTGGTATCTCAGGAGTAGGTTGAAGGAGGATCTGCGTCCCTTCATTTTATATGGGAATCCTTGTCTCTCTTCACTGGTTGTGAGAATCCAAGGGAGTAAATAAATATCAGGAATGGACTGCTGAGACACAGGAGCCCAGGGTCAAAGATGACTCGTCTTCAGCACAGGAGCAGGGCCAGCACCGATGGTTGGTGCCTAGCCCTGATAGGACACGCCCCCCCCCCCCGCCCCTCATTATTAATTTTTAGAGAGAGAGGAAGGGAAAGGGTGGGAGAGGGAGAGAGACAGAAACATCAATGTGAAGTGAAACATCGATCAGCTGCCTCCTACATTCCCCTTACAAGGGATCCAGCCCAAAACCTGGGCATGTACCCTGACCTTTCGTGCACAGTACGATGCCCTACCAACTGATCCACACTGGCCAGGGTTAGGATCTGGATTCTAAGATGAAGATAGCATCAGAAACTAAGTGGGTGACAGGAGGAAAGAGAAGGAAGAAGAGAGTCCCTACTCAGGTTCAAGCCTGAAATAGAAAGTATTAACCCAGGACCTATCTTAGAAACGGGAGAAGAAGCGGAGAGGAATGTTAACCACGGTCTGTGAGCCACAAACACTTCAGGCAACCGTCCCTCCAGCCTCTCCTGCCGTGGTACCTGGGTGTTAGTGACAGCACTGAGGATAGCTGGGTCCCCGAGCTCTTCCTCCTCTTCATCTACTCCCTCCTCCAGGTCCGGGGCTAGATCTGGATCCAGATCCTCCTCTTCCTCCTCATTTTCTTCCTCCTCCTCCAATTGGGAGGCAGGCACCAGCTCCTCCTCAGGAGCCCCGGGGCCACAGGACTTGTCTGGGCCTTGGTTTGAGTGGGGGCCTGAAGAAGTAAGCGGTGGTGGGGGGGGGGGGGGCGAGGCAGGTGTGAGGAGTCTGGTCTAGAGAGTGCTTCTCAGTAGCACTTCTGTCCATGAGCCGTCTTCAGCACTACTTTCAAACAACGCCTCCTGTTCTAAGGTTCAGCTCAGCCTCCATACCCCAGAGACCCCTACCTGTCCCCGACTAGAGCAAACGGAACCTGGCAGGTGCCAGACACCTGACTTTCTACATCCCCTCTTTAATTGCCTCATTAGGCACCACCACAGGCTTCTCCACCTGCCCTCCTCCACCTAACAGCCCTTTCTACGCCTCTTTGATCAACCAATTTCCAGCTGTCCTGACTCACTGCAAATTTAACCCTACTGTGTGCCAGAGACTTTCCATGTATATGTCCATTCATCTCTCACAACCATCATACAAGCCTGTTGTTGATCATTTCACTATGAAGGTGAGAAAGGGGGTCCCGGAAAAGTGATTTCAGTCACCCAGCATGATATAGCTAACAAGTAGATGAGTCTGGAATTATTCCCAATGATTCTGGACAAGCAAGCCCATGTCCATCCACCGAACCAGAACAGTAAGTCTCCGCACCCCCAGGCTTTCTATCCAACTATGGCTCCCTTAGTGATACCTTCAAGACATGTCATCTTTGCAGGCTGGCGGACTTCCTCCACGGCTGGTGAGAGAGCACTGTCAGCCTCTGGAAGGCAAACCTGGGACAGGGAAGAGACCCAGAGGCACCGTCCTCCTCAGTAAAGATGGCGTGGCACCCTAAAACCTGGCTGTCCCCTAGCAAGGTTGTCCGGGGAGTACTGGCCCAGGATCTTGAGGAGCGGGGCTGCCTGAAACCCCCAACCTCTGACCTCATCAACCCTTATCTGTCCAGCAAAGGCCCGGAAGGTAGGGACAGGGCTAGGAGTTGGAAAAGCACTCCCACAAACACCACCAGCCTCCCCCTGTGCAGGGAGGGGGCCCCACAGCTGCCTTGCTGCTGACACCCACCACCTGACTGTTGCTGTCCTTTCTGCTCACTTTAGCCATGGCAGCCTGGGCCAGTGCTGGCTTGCTGCCCCCGGCTTTAAGAGTCCCAAACCCTCCCCTACTCTCTTGTTAAAGGGCCAGCATCCCCCAAACACAGCATCTTGATAGAAATAATGAGAACATAATCTTATGGTAACGAAAACTCTTGAAAGGGCAAGAGAAATAAACTGCAGTTTCAACCATTCAAGGTTTGAGTTCAGTTTATTGGGATTTATATTTGGGAGCAGATATTTAAAAGAATTCCTGTTTCCCACACCCCTCATAGGAACTTTGTGAGGTTTTGTTTCCTTTAATGCGTAGTTTTGCTCCATCAAAATTGGTGGATCCTGGGGAGATTACCTAACAACCAAGTTCTCGGCGCTTCAGGGCACTTGTGGATCCCTGCGGCCCACCTGGTGATGCTTGCCCTTTACCTCGTCCCGTCCCCGTGAACTGCTACCCAGCTCTGACTGATGAGGGACCCCTGTGAATTTAGAAGCCAGATCTTCGAAATAAAAACATTTTTGCATGAATTACACAGACAATCTTGCATCTTCTTGGCTGCTCTAATGGAAAACTGGTTCAGCAGCTGAGGAGTAAAAAGAAAACAGTAACAACAAAAACACATATTAGTACTACCAGCAGACAAAACCCAAGACCCACCTGAACATTATCTAACTCCTAAGTGATGCAGATTCTGTGCCCACATCCTGTATTCAGCTAAAACCACACAAGACTTTGTAGAACTTCTGAATAAAAGTAAAAAAAAAGCTAATTTCTCTACATCGAAAGGGAAGTTAGGGCCCTATCGTGCTGGTTATAGGACTACGATTCTTTTTTCTTCTCTCTTTTAAAATGTTTTTATTGATTTTAAAGAGAAAGGAAAGGAGAGGGAGGGAGAGAGAGAAACATCGATCGGTTGCCTCCCACAGGCATCCCGACCAGGGATCAAACCCACAACCTGTGTATGCGCCCTAACTGGGAATCAAACCCGGGACCCTTCAGTGCATGGGATCATGCTCCAACCAAATGAGCCACACCGGCCAGGGCAGGACTATGATTCTTGATGCCTTTAAATAAAAATATTTGTTTCAAAATATTTGCTGTAAGTCAGAACTATATGGATAGGAGGACATTTTAAGGAGCTTGAAAGTTACTGAAAAACTTTTCAAATATTGGAATTGGGTTCAGGCCTTTTGGGTAATGTTATTCAGCTCTCATGTAGTTCCTAACAGTTCACTTTGGTATTATTAACAAAAGAGCCAAATGGAGAAGTTCAGTGTTTCAAAGTGAGTTATTGTTATAGAGAGAGAGCCACTTTCTGCATGTTGATATTTTTAAAAAATATATTTTATTGATTTTTTACAGAGAGGAAGGGAGAGGGATAGAGAGTTAGAAACATCGATGAGAGAGAAACATAGATCGGCTGCCTCTTGCACACCCCTTCCTGGGGATGTGCCCGCAACCAAGGTACATGCCCTTGACCAGAATCGAACCCACGACCCTTCAGTCCGCAGGCCGACGCTCTATCCACTGAGCCAAACTGGTTAGGGCTGCATGCTGATTTTTATTGTGAAGGGACTTGTTGTACCAATGGTTCCTAGCAGGTGAAATAGGGTTTAGTCTTCAAGATAACAGCTTTGCCTTGGCTGTTTGAAATTTCACTTGGGGCCTAGTGGCTTTTGTGAAACTCCCCTACCTTTGCCTGAAGTCATATGTGTCTACCTGCCCCTTACATTTCCTAATCTCCTGCCATAGATTAACTGTGCTACTTAATCTCTGCTACACTTGGGGTACAGCAATGAATAGGCAGATGCCACCCAGGGCCTCTTAGAGCTTCCAGAAGAATAAGAACTACAGACAGGTAAACAGGATTGTTGGATCAAAAATACATTAGAGCCCTAGCCGGTTTGGCTCAGTGGATCGAGTGTTGGCCCTCGGACTGACTGGTCCCAGATTTGATTCCAGTCAAGGGCACATGCCCAGGTTGCAGGCACAATCCCGTGTGGTGCGTGCAGGAGGCAGCCAGTCAATGATTCTCTCATCATTGATGTTTCTATCTTTCTCTCCCTCTCCCTTCCTCTCTGAAATCAATAAAAAATATTTTAAAAAATACATTAGAAATGTTTACGTTTGCTGAATAAAACACTAAGGAGTGTCCTACTTGTATGGGGATATTTCTTTTCTTTTTTTTCTTTTTATTTCTTATGGGGATATTTTTAATCCATAGTTTCAGTTTCTTTAATGGCTGTAGATCTTTTCCAGTTTCCAGTTTCTTCTTGGGGTTGTGCTATTAAATTATATAATTTCTAGGAATGTGTCCATTTCTTATAAGTTCAAATTTATTGGCATAAAGTTGTTCATAGTATGAGGGTATTTTTTAAATCCATGCTTAAATCTGTACTTTGTCCCCCTTTTCATTCCTAACAATGTTTATTATCCCCTCTTTTTCCTTCTTTCCAGTTTGTCTATTTTATTGGTCTTTAGTGCTCGCTTCGGCAGCACATATACTAAAATTTTATTGGTCTTTAAAAACACACACTCATAAGTCAGAGATTTTGCAGGAAGTAGACAGTTCACTCAAATTGGGTAATTTGAGTAGAATTTAATAAAGAGGTATTTATAAAGGTGTAGAAAGAATATAGCACCATTATAAGGAATAGTACAGTACCCTGGGACTCATAATAGTTGGCGGTTACCACTTTAGGTCAAGGGCCAGAGGATGAAGCCATTACCAAAACCTGGGGACGGTGGCAGCCCTCTCCTGAATCATATCCACTCTCTCTGAGATCTGTATCTGCTTTCTTCTTGCCTCTTGAGCCCTAGGCGTGGCAAAGGCTCCCCACTCTTGCTAGCACCAGCAGTGCTTCACTTTCCTTTATGAATTCCCCTGAACCCTGCTCACATTTTGGTAAATGTGCCTGTCACCCTGCTCACATTTTGGTAAATTCCCCTCAGCTACTGACTCAGATGTGCTATTTGTTTCCTATCAGGGCCCTGACGGACACCATCTCCATCTCTGTTGCCAATAAATTTGAACTTACAGGAAATGGACACATTCCTAGAAATTACATAATTTAATGATACAACCCCAAGAAGAAACTGGAATAGATCTGCAGCCATTAAAGAAAGTGAAACTATTTTCTTTGTCCTTGTTCAGCTTCCTCTCCCTCCCTCAAACATCAGCGTTCTAAAACATAATCGTTGTCCTCAAGTCCCCTGCATGACTCCATCTCTTTATTTTCAGCCGTCACCTGAGCTCTCACATTATGGAGAAAATAGAGGCCACGTGGGCTGATCTACTTTAATTTATAGTTGGAGGAAATTTATATGTGTGCAGGCCCAGGCCTCCTCACCTCATTCTAGTCCAGCCTCTTTTTCTGGATCCTGTGCCCTCCGGCCACTTCAGTCAGGCTTCTCTACTCTGTGTCTTCAGTCTCTCTATTTTTCCTTCTTTCTTTTTTCTTATAGCATAGCATAGAAATGTCAGGATGTGTTCATTTTTTACGAACAAAATCCCTTCTTTCTTCCTGTTTCTTATTTTCACTGCCCCTTATCTTTCTCCTACCCAGCAAGCCAAGCTTCTCCATTTCAACTCACATAATTTCTTCAGCTACTGCTCTCTGGCTTTTGAATAAATAGGATTACTTAAACAGATAAAAGTAAAGACTTTACTTTCACATTTACACTTGATATTAGCCAAAAGGCCGAAAAGCGATTTTACTTTCACATTTGAATTACATTTGTTTCACATGTAAGACTGCCTGAAAACAAGTTGGAAGAAACTATTAATGATCTTGACTATAACTGTTTATTTCATTTTCAGCCGACTTAAAAAATATAGTTTTATTTATTTCAGAGAGTAAGGGAGAGAGATAAATATCAATGATGAGAGAGAATCATTGATTGGCTGCCTCCTGCAAGCCCCACACTGGGGATCAAACCCACAACCTGGATATGTGACCTGATCAGGAATTGAACTGTGACCTCCTGGTTCATAGATTAATGCTCAACCACTGAGCTACCGGCTAGGCCAGCCTTTTTTTTTTCTTCTTCAACATTAAATAGTTTGGAGTTTTAAGTTCTATTCTACTTACCCTATATAATAAAGAGCTAATATGCTAATTAGACTGAACAGCAGAACGACTGTTCAGACATCCTTCTGAACGACCTTCCAGACAAAGCTGGGGCTGCAAGGGCTGGCTGAGGCTGCGAGGGCCTGCGAGGGCCGGCTGGGGCAGCTGGGGCTGCTAGGCCTGAGCCCCTTGCATGAATTTCGTGCATCAGGCCTCTAGTCCTATGTAATAAAAGGCTAATATGCAAATTGTCCCCTCGACTGGGAGTTTGACCAGGAGTTCGACCAGGGGGCGGGGCCAGCCCACCAACTGCCCGCAGCCCCTCCCCGCAGCCAGCCTGGCCTAATCGACCCGATTGGTGCAGGCCGGCTGGACCCCACCCATGCACAAATGGATGCACTGGGCCTCTAATCTTTAAATGAATGATTTAGCATAAAACTTAAATGGCTGACATCACCACTAAATTGTTTGTGGACCAGAAATATATTAAAAAGCAGCTTCATTGTATATTTCAATCATGAGCTTCAAATACTCTAAGCAGAATTTGGATA